TGTCTATACTTTTGGGGCTCCATACCTATACACATCGCATTGATAACAAAAACACTATCCCCCATTTTTGTATTTTTTTGGAGGGGATGGGGTTGATACCATTGATCTCCATATACACAGTCTGTGTATATGGAGATCAATGGTTGATACACATCCACCTTCACATCGCATTTGAAAACTGCAATGTAAAACGCAATGATACCAAAGTGATTTATAGTTATGCATGCATGTCACAACCGAACTGAGTGAACCTACTGTCACAGAAAGATGTTTGTTGTACGCAAAACTTTGTGATTTACCTTGCTGCATCGAGATCCATGGTCCTATGCACAACAATACAAGCAGGCCCAGCATATGCACGGAATAAATGGGGAAATTAGTCATGTCTGTAAGACACAAATGAAAATTAGTTGTTAGTGTAGGTTTTCCCGGCCAATTTCCAGAAATTTTCATTCACTTCTAAAAATCGGTCTTCGTTTTCGTCTAAATTTCAAACGGCACGTCTTTAATGCTATTTCAATTAAACGGAAATTCAATCGTTTTTATTGTCCGTGCATTCGGTTTTGAGAAACAGACATTTAAATTACGTTACCTGTGCATTTATTTACGCAAGCATTCCTTGTCTAAATTGATCTCAGGTACAGCTAATTTGATTGACGGTAAATGAAAAAGAAACACCTAATTATATCTGGTGCCGAATGCATTAACCTGAAAGTGAAATAGAATTGTGAATGTTTGAAATCGCCCTATAATAGCGAAAAGGAAGTCATGTAAAAGATTCTGAACGGTCACAAATGAAATGTTATGCACAATCAGATCATTGATTAAACTGAAATGGAATCGAATGCTTTGGTAGCGAAAATAAAACGCATGTTCAGAGCGATTCTCAAGTTCGGACGAAAATGAATGACCGATTTTCAGAAGTGAATTAACATTTTCGGAAATTGGCCGCGAAAACCTTTACTTTTGCATCGCAAATCCATTAGACAACGCGACATTGAAAACACAATTGTAAATTCGTTTTCAATTATTGACAAAATTTATTATGAAAAATAAGTGACGCGTGAACAGTCACGTGTCACTACTTCAGAAATTTTGCTATGAGTTTTGCAACATCACAAAAGCCTCCCTTTATATTTCAAAGACACCCACGATTTGCATATTATTCATTGACGTTAAAATGATGTAAGTGGGGAAAATAATGATGATTGCTTCTTCCTTTAAAAAAAATAACGTGTGATTTTCGTTGGTATTGAACGTTAGACAGTTCAAACTTATTATCTATACATGGAACTTGCTTATTACACACAAAAAATAAATTTGAGAATACTCACATCTTAGACCGTGATGAAATCAAACTATCGTCTAAACACTTTGACCTTATGTCAGTTATTTCCAGCCCTTTTTAAATAACAAAACCAACCCAAGCTCCATCGGTCTATTTTCACCAGAATGGGAACCCCTACAGTGTAAACATCTAAGCACTTTGAAAATGACTGTGGGCAGAAATTGACGCGAAGGATCAGGATTCTAACTCGCGCTAATAGTAATAAGCGGCTACACATTGACAGTCCTCGACACTGATCTGTAAAATCAAACTAATTTCAATCAAAACAACCTACCTTCAACATATGTTGCTGTCTTCTGCTGGATATCGAGACTGCACTTGTTCTAACGTCCAAAAACGAAGATATGACCAGGACGAAATAAATATTATTGACGCGACGATGAAATGCTCACATCTAAAAACACCATTTACATGCTTTTAGCATTTCCTAATTCCGTCGTGTTCTGAGTCCGTATTGTTTTGTCTGCTTAACCACAAACTTGTATTTCCTCGTACGTCACTGAAACTATCGTCGATAGACCCGAATGTGGTAAGCTTGCACTACTACGGAAGATATTGCTACCAAAACGAAAAAGAGTGATTTTAAATTGTTTGAACGACATAATCATCTAGATTAAACGACATATCTGTCGTTTGAACGAAACAGCCTTCTCTTCCTTTAAACGACGCTTGGGGATTGATGGCGATGCCGATAAATAACTCAAAATAATAATAAAAAAACTCGGCACCAATAGGCTTCCGTACAGTAACCTGCAGTATCTAAATCGTTGAAAGACAAGCCCAGACCATTGTGATAAATTCTTTTGACTTGTACCAGTCCCTCTTTTCCGAGATTTTGGATGTTCCTCCCGCAATTGTATCAAGTCCCGACCCTGGCAAGCGCCGTCCGACCGCCACCACGGTAGAGAGCATCATCAAGATGAATCCAATCCAGTCTTGGGAACTTTGGCAGAGCTGCCCAGAAAATTCCTTACACACTTCACACGCGCTGAAGTCTAGCTTATGTACGCGTGTGAGGATGCTCCGAATTTCCTTGAACGCGCTGTCAAAATTCTTAGACTGAATTCGATTCATTGTTTTGATGGCGACCTCTTACCGTCCAGGAAGGATCCAACGGTCCCTAACCCGTCCCGTACGCAAGAGACCGAGATATTACCCAAGGCTCGTTGCATTGTGGGAATACCGATATGCTAATTACTACTTAGCAAACACTCCTCCCGGTATATACTAGAATCGATCCCTATATTTTGAAGCCAGAGTCGATGATGGAGGGACTGGGAACCAGTCTAGAGGCCAGGCCGGCTGCATCGGGGCAAAGAGATTATTAGCGCTATAGAGATTAGTATTGTTTGACAATGCCAAGTTCTCATTGATCTGGAATTAGACATAGGCCTACCTCAATTACTAATCGAGATATTTCCATTTCAAACAGAAGTTAATCCAGATATCTCTCTTTGCAGCAGGTACAGAGTGAGTGAGAATGATCTGGAACCCAGTTCACCCTCTGTTATTTTTATGGCAAATCATATTGAGGGGGAAAACGAGTGGTTGATATGTATGATTGTTACCTTGTCTTCCACAGAAATTTTGAATTTTTCATATTAGTGGCCGTGGTGAGGAGTTATGCCATCTTCGTTGAAGAGGCTCATTTTCCAGTCTGCACACGAAATTGGTTTGGCCTTTTTTAAATGTGTCAATAACTTCTTATTGAGTGATTTCAATAAATTTGTTCAACCATGGAACCGTGGTCAGAGTGTTTTAAGAATGTATTCTTTGCCAGCTAGCGCTTTTCTTCAAAATGGATATACATGACACTTTCACCAATGTCCAAAGTATCAATCTATAACATATATCATTTTGCACTTGTTTTGATCATTGCTACATATTTTTTAATATGTTCTTTAATGTGGGTCCAGATTATTATTAATTACCCTGTACGTCTCTGTTTCTGAATTAAATGTTACATTTGCACGCCATAATTGACTTGTGGTGCCCTTTCCCTTCCGTCAGATCGATGACCTTCATAATCATGACATGCAACCGTTATAATCAGCAGTGAAGTTCAAGTGATGTGCCATACATGTTTTTTTTTCCTGCAGCCTTATCCGGTTCATGAAATCAATACGTTCTTCCTGCTCACTATCCGAAATCCGTCAGTTTCGTATTGCATAGAGTACAGTGTGTAGAAAAAATATACATTTAGAGAAAAAAATATTAAAAATACAAGCTCTTATTTGTGTTTAATAATAACTTATACACGCCTAAACACAATGCAGTTTCCCTATCTCACTGGCCACCTACATCCAGATGTATAAACAGTTAATTGAAAGGGATTATGTCAGTGCGGTCCAATTTGTAGCAAGGTGGATAAAATGAGTTTACATGGCAGCAATCTCTGTTGGCAAACTTACACCTATTGTTCTTCGCCAATCAATATTTATTGTTGGAACCTATGAATCATCGATTGTTCATCGTTTGCATAATCATTGAAGCATAAGTTAAGGTTGTTCCAACTAAATGGAAAACACTATTGTGTTGGGAAATAACCATTCTTTAAACGCAGGCCTAAGTTATTTTTTTGTAATGTATTATTTGCAAGGACTGACTTTAACACACGAGAATGAGAAAACTGATTGGGCCTGCACACACCACAATCTTTATTCAGCATCCTCAAAAGCCTGACAAAGAAACGAAAGTGAAACAAGGAAACACTTTGAAGTAGAAGGCGTGAGAAGCTTTCGTTCGTGCAGTTCTGTTTATTTGAAAATCAAATATTCGTTTTTATTTCACCGTGTTTTTTTTAACCACAGTTGCCATGTAAATGTAGAGGGACCAGTGGAATTGCGTGTAGTACTAGTTTACGTTAGCCCAAACATGATTTAAATTGTCTTCACTGAATTATGTACACTTTTCAGGCAAAAACTGCTTGGCTTCAAATTCATTATCGTTATAGGAGTTCATGTCATTATAGTGTAACATATTATGTTTATATCATTATATCATTATGTACTTTAATAATAAGTTTGTAGTCTTAATTGGAATTAACTGAGATGTAGCTCATTTCGCATTGATGTGACTAATGAGTTAATACGTGTATTCGTGGTTTTTTTTTTCACAAACGAAACATTTTTTTTCTAGTTTGTGTTTTCAGTCTATATCTAATATACCAGCATAGCAACAGTGCGGACAATTTTGTCATGCACTCTATTCTTTGGAAGTGTTGAGCATTGTTGCAGACCGCTTCATAAACAACACAGGCGCTGCATCAGTTTTGTCGAATACAATGAATTGAAGCAATGAAAACTTAGAATAGCGCCACCACTGGACCTATGCATTCAACAGAGGGCGCACTCTAATAATGTGGAGCAAGGCGACAGGCATTCTCATCTGGACACAAAATGGCTTTGGGCAAACTTTGACGCATTAATGCATTCAGCAGACCTTGTAAACTGCAGCATCCTTCTTAGAGTGCGATGTGACAGAAGAACGCATTTTGTTTATTCCTTTGAACATTCTTGTTGTTGGTTTTGAAAGGTGTTATTATTGAAAACGAATAAAATACATGGAAAGCAAATTATCCTATATATGCTCTTTAATAATCTCAACGAGCCTGTACACAATGAAAGCAGAACGAATACTTCATTTTGGTTTATGCTACTTCACGTGGTTTATTTGGGTTTTCTTTGATTTAAATTCTAACCAAAACTAGCTTTCATTTAATATTTACTGTTTGCAGACATTCAGTGCAGAGAATGAAATACTTGGATGTCTTTTATTTTATATCATTAAACAATATAGAGGTTTTCCCATTTTTCTGTCATTAGTAATACAAATTGACTTTCAACAGTACCCATTTTTTTCTAAAGGCTACTTGTTGGAACATTTGTAATGTTCCAGATTGATTTATTTCATTTACCCTGATTCGGTCAAGCAGAACGGGCGTCCTTGCAGAAGGAGTAGACTGAGGGCGCTCTTGACACGTGGCCTTTGAGGGTCCAGACCAGTAAGTAGGCCCGACATTGCCTCTGCTGTCAACATCACGATTTGCATGCCGTCAAAATCTATGATATACGAGCTTTTTTAGTCAATGTTTTGTAAAAAAAAAATAAAAAAAATGAAGCCGTACTCAGGACTGTCAGCTTGTAATTCTGTGAAATTTGGGATGTAATTGTGCTCTCAAGGCGCTTTATTTTGCAACGGAGTGTAGGCATCGCTTTTCAACATGGCGATGGGCTTCAGGACTGTTTTTAGGGGTGATCATCTTCGGATGAAAATTTCTCTCAAAAGTCATTGAATCCCCAACCAAAAAAAAAATAAAAAAATATAAACATGAAAGATGATGAAATAAGCTTTAATTTGATGCGTGTCTTGAACACCTCAGATAGTGGTGAGTATTTTAAAATAATTCTGTGAAGTGTGCGTAATTACCAATAAGGTCTATGGCAGTCTATTTACTGGTCTGGACCCTACAACGAGCGCTGTTTAGGGGACGATTTAAATGAGGGCGTCCTCCAAGGCAATCTTGAACACAATAAGAAATGCAAATGTCAGAAAAGCACCCTCTATAGTCGTCAATCCTCCCATTTAGCTCTTTAAAGGAAACCGTCTTCTCAACATATTTCTTTAGTGAAAATCGAAATTAACGAATTCAATCGAGTGAACAACCAACAACATTACGAGGTTTTATTTATTCGTGACTGCGAAAAGTAAACTACAAGCTTTGTATATAATGGTTAAAGGTGATACATAGTTGCACTCAATGTTTACCGTTCAAACTAAATTATATGTGGAAAGCACTGCTTCAAATCCGTATACTTATTAGGCATTTACATGTATATAATCGTCCGATCTACAGCTATACAAAAATAATCGGCAGAATGTTTATCGTACTGGCACAGCGGGAAGTTAGAGTAATGCTTTAAATAGGAAGGAGTGCATACGTGTCGAACAGTACATCTGAGATCTAAACGTTTAGCAAAACCGTAACTGATTGTACAAAGGTTGTGTGGTGGGGTGCATACGTGTCGAACAGTAGATCTTAGGTCTAAACGTTTAGCAAAACCGTAGTGACTTTACAAAGGTTTTGTGTTAGGTGAGTTTGATGCCATTTCCGAATCTTGGCTTCGTCTTCAGCTTCGGCTCCGGTTCCATCTCTTGCTTCAGACTCATTGTATCCCGTCAGCCTACAGTTTATATATTTCAGAACCAGAATTGTACACGAGTCCCCCAAAATTATGGGCCTAAAATATCCGGACGCCGCAGCTGCAAAACGAAGCCACGGCTTGGAAAACTGTCGTGGTGCTGGGAAGGGGCGGGGCAGCAGTAGGGGAAGGCGTACAAAACTAATTAACTGATATACAAGTGCGACAAAGGCGTCACAAATCTCCAGTTTAGCCGTGCACCTGATTAATTAAAAAGACATTCCAGTCAATGGCGTGCATCTGTTTTATATCTTGTTGGATTCTTATATTATACACCAGATTTTGGCATGTTCTTTATACAAGGAATTTCCACTTCGCGATGACTTCTTCTGTTTGACTAGTTCCTGTACAAAAAAAGAAACAGATAAATTTATTCCAAATCCAAACATATTTCTGACTGATATTTAAGTTTATGGGACGGATTTTGCGTCGGAAATATGTGAATTCGTCACTGCATGTTTTACCATCACCGACATGTTTATATAATTAAAAGGTTGGGGGTTAAAACTGATAATGAACTGATATTTGAGTTACTAAAACGCGGTTTCATTTAAATGCATTTACTTGCTTTTAATTAAAGGCTGTTTAATTTAAAGGCCAACAATTTTTAGCTATGTCCGTGATGTTTAGATGAGATGATCTGCCGATGCCCAGGAATTTTAATGAATATACCATGAAGAAAGTGTAATGTAAATGTGATGCACAAAGTGTTCATGAATATTCATTACCTCAGGTATGGGTAGACATCATCCAGCATTTCCTGCCCGTTCTCCGCAGCCCGCTTGTACTGACCGTCCATTGCTGCAAATATAAAAACAAGCACCACACATCAAAGATAACACGACACAAAAGAGTCTGCGACCAGACTGATATTGTTTACGAAACCCCTTTGTACGCTGGTTCGACCAATCATAGCCTGTTTGTTAGAATGATATTGATTGTGTACGAAAGGTTATAGCCATAGTAGTTGGGTAGATAGGGGAAATATTTGTGGGAATTGTGCCTTTGATGATACAAGCATGGAATTCAGCACATAGTCTGCGTATGTCTTAAGAAAGATATTTGGCTAAAGGGCCATCGTAAATTTGTCCTTTGAAAAATATATATTATAGGTAGAATAACAATTTTCAAAAATTTCAACATGGCTGCCATTGCTAGTTATTGTACCTATATTTTTTCAAAGGAAAAATCTGCGATGGTCCTTTAGCCAGATGTCTTTATCATGACACACTCTGACTGTGTGCCAAATTACATGCTATGTATCATCAAAGGCAAAATCCGATCGCCTATTTGCCGTAATATAGGAACTGGCATCTTGTTGTTTGCATACACTAAAAGAACACTCGCTTCGCTATCACTGATACTCGTTGAGACTGTCACATACACAACTGGCCAGTGCATTCAGAACGGCGTCAGGGCACTTCACAAACGACAACACCAGACTACACTATTTGCCCGCAGTTTATCAAACTCTCATTGGACCACTTCGTGCACGTGGTGCAGTCCTCAAACCGCGCACGCGCTAATCTGCTCTTCGGCCAAGTTGACGAATCATGGGTGTTAGAACGCCCTGTCTGACCATCTAAGGACTGAACCTTATGTTTCATAAATATTTGCGGTTATTGCATGGAACGATTTATATAAGCGGTAAGAATGCATTGCATTAAGAAATTATAATGTGTAGGTAAGATAAATGATGTTTTCAAAACCACAGATTCGTCTCCGACTTCGGCCACATGGGTTTCGAATGATCTTCCATCCAAATGGAGATACTCTGATTTGTTTAGCCTTGAAATAGAGGATTTGATGCCACTTATAAAAGTACGACCTGGATCCGTATTGAGCACGAGTCTGGCAGAGTCAAGAGGCATGGGCGTCGCCAGGAATTTTTCTAGAGGGGGGCAAAGCACATTCCCCTCCCCCCCAAAAAATCCCTTTACTTTTCCAGCATATTCTCGATTTATCATTTTCTTCGAGGGTGGGCAGGGACATTTGTTCTCCCCTCCTTCCCTTCGCGCCTCTTTTCGTGTGCTTGTCCGGGGGGGGGGGGGGCTCGCAACGCTCATGTCAAGAGGCTTAACTCTCCTGAAGCCGATACCAGAGACGAAACGAGGGTTCGCAATCCCGTCGGATCGTCTGTGCATTGATCAGTGATAGCGCCCCCATGTGAATTGACAATGTGTGTGAGAATAATTATTTAAAGAGGTTTCCCGTGCATCAACGGTGACAGGGACGCACCTTTGTCCGAGTTTGGTATCTGCTTCTCCCAGTCTCTCTTATGTCCTGTTCGGTTCAGAAGTAAAAAGGGGGATGGGGCAATCAGCGTCATTATTCCGTTAATTTTGAATTAGTGGGAAAGATAATGAACAGAAAGCGAATGTGACACCAAAGAAAAGATTGGAAAAAGAAAGATTGAAGTAAAGAGTTGAGATTTCAGGGAAGATTCGAGCAGAACTGTTGTGATATTGCTTCAAAAAGTAATCACAGAGGAATGAAATAAAAGAAACAAGTTCGAGTCACTTCAGCATTAACGGCGTTGAAGCAGAAACAACGAAAACTTTGCCATGAAAACCCAAAATCAGTTTGAAGTCTCTGCAACGAGAAGGCTAATTGATCCTCTTTAGACAAGACGCCTCCACTGTTCAAAATCGGAAAAGGAGCGAGGATTTGGCTCATTAATCATTTCGATAGGCCTGATCAAAAGTGTATGAGAATCTTTAACTTTAAAATCAAAAATGGATAGGCGGAAGAATAGTTAAAGATCAAATCATGTAGAGGGGGATCTGAAAGAAAAGAGAAAGTCATACAGAATATAGAACTTAAACCCCAGATAGGAGCTATTTACAGATTTACATAACAGTGCTTTTATATTATGGTGACTTATCATCGAAACAGAAAACAAGTAGTACACGACAGTTTAACACATTGGACAATGTCAATCAGTTAGTAAGGACACTGAAAACGAAAACAAACAAGCAATACATTGACAAAATCTGAAATGTTACAAAGTCTCAAACGGTAATCCTGTTAGTTTTATTGTTACAACATAACGCATACGATTTCATACTCTAGTCATGAAACAAACGGAACGGAGAAAGATAGGGAGACGTGGAAGTAGAGAAAAAGAGAACAAGAAAGAGTGAAGTACGACACGACGACTACAATAACAAAAATTGACACAGAGAAACAAAGAAACTTCAGTGACTAATAAAACAAAACGTGGGCACTTAAAACAATCTTGTTAGTAGCTTGTTAATATCTTGTGAGTTTTACAAGAGAGAAGACGCGAAACTGAGAATGTGATGAAGTTGGTACTGTGTCATTCACCATAAACAAAAATCAAAAAGAACCTTGTCGTGCCAATAGTTCAACCAAAATAAAGGAATATCTGCCCAGAAATTAATGACTTTTCCAAACTTTCAGTGATTTTGAAGACAGGAGGGAAAAGCTAAGTTTGACACTATGTAGAGGCACAGTAAGCATGCTCCTTTTCGGAAGATAATATTTTTAAAATATTTGGAAGATGATGCCGCCTAAAACCACTTTCGTCTCGCTCGGTAACTTTTGATTGGGGGAGAAGCATAAGCAAGACAATTAAATGCAGTGATTTTTTTTTGGTATAATAGAACGCTTTCCAAAGATAGTTTGTTTCGCAAGGGGAGGTAAATTTAATTTCGACATTTGTTAGATTAAGGGAAATGCGCGTGCGCAGGTTTCCTGTATGCTTACTGCGCCCCTCTAGGTCAAAGGTCACAGGTCATCTCCAGAGTTCAAAGGTCGGGCTTAGAGGCTAATACCCAAACTTACCACCTCTGTATGGTACTCGTCTACCTCCCCATCGCCGAAATACCTGAACCTCGTCATCACCATCTTGGTTATGAATATTCATGAATTATGCATGAGATTCATGTTTTGGTCAGGCAAAGAGGGAGGAACCGGGAACAGAATAGCATAATGGCTCTACAATAACATAATGACTTTTGTGCAACTCTATTTCAGAAAAACCGAGATTTAACATTTTCCTCAATTGATTTTCTGTATCCATTTGCAGCTAGTTTTTATGCCTCAACTTTTGGATATCATATTGATATAATAACTATATCCATTTAGCATGTCTTGGTCAATCAAAGATAAAACTGATTACCATGCCACTTATGACAGTAAAAATTGTAATCAATAAAAATCCTTATCAACTATTACAAGGAAATATCACTCACAACCAAAAAACAAACATACGCAAACTTACAGACAAATATAAACAACCAAACAAACAAATGCATTTGAGTAGTTATAAATGGAGCGCAGCGCTTTTGTCGGGTTTCATCTAGACTTACGCGTTCAGCAGTCGCAAAAGTGCAGCCGATCGCGATTCACCTTTGATGGGCCGCGAGTTACAAGAAAAAAAATCGGAATTATTTTTCCCACAATGTTTGCGACCGAAAATAGCCGCCACTTTGCTGCGTGCGTCCAGCGTCATTGGACTGTTTGTGGAATGTTTACTGAAGGCTCACAAAATTCCCTAATGTTGATTTTGGCTGGCCCCGGGCCAAGTCCATCAATACATTTGCCCTTCTTACTAAACATACAACTGAGAAGGTACCGGCACCTGATGCGACCTTTGTGCCTGCCATTCATGACGTGGTATTTTGGTTTTCGTTTCACTGAATGCTCGCTATGCGATTCCGCATAAGTGCAGGTGTACGTGTTTAGTGACAATACAATTCATGATCTTCTTTCTTCAGACTTTTGTCCTCGGCACGTTCTCTCCGTAAACTTATTTCCTGGCACATATATTTCCAAGCATCTTATACAAATACATGTATATTTCAGTGGGTACCGCCGTTTAAACAAATAATATATGAAACTGCAAAGTATGTACAGCAAACCATGGATACATTTTTTAACTTGGCAACTCGTTCTAGGGGCAGATCCATTTTTGTCTGAAGGGGTTTAGCTCTCAAGGGAGGGGGTGCCTTAACAGGCAATATTATATTTTTGTGTACCCTTTTTTTGGCGTCCCAGAGGGGGTGACATATCTACCCTCCCCCTCCCTAGATCCGCCACTGCCTTCAGGTTGTTTGTTTTAACCGACGCTCAATACGACGGTGACTGCTTGATGTTCCGACACCTCTGTGTTCCGACACCCCTATGTTTCGACAACCCGCACATGAGATTGCTTTACTCCCGCTTAGGGTTAGGGTTAGGAATATGAGCATACTGGTGTGTCGGAACATACTGGTGTGTCGGAGCAAGGTGTGCCGGAACATAGGTGTGTGAGAACATAGGTGTGTCGGAACATAGGTGTGTCGCAACATAGGTGTATCGCAACATAGGTATGTGAGAACATAGGTGTGTGAGAACATAGCTGTGTCGGAACATAGCTGTGTCGCAACATAGCTGTGTCGCAACATAGCTGTGTCGCAACATAGGTGTGTCGGAACATAGGTGTAACCAAAACGAACATTATTTTCCTCAAAAAATGGCACGCTAAAGGCTCGTCATATTTTGGATTACTCAGAAATCTAACTGAAAACGAAATAAGAAAGAGAACAATTTATGTTTAGTTTTCTTTTGGAGTTCGCCTTTAGCGGCTGAGCGAGTGTGGATAGTATTACTGGCGCATCATCTGTTTCCCTGAGGGAGTATTGTGGATGATCCTTGAGAAGTCTTACCATATGCTCTGGGCACGCGTCCCTGAGGCCTGATGTGTCTGCCTCCCCATCGTGATTGTCTTTGGAATTGATCAAGACCATCTACGATCGAGGAGAAAAACAAAATAAGAAAACCAAATTAAGGCGTGAATATCATATCGAAGACATCCACTTATATAAAAACAAAATTTCGAAGCCTAAACCGAACACCCTAATACAATTTTGTCCGAATATCAACATTTCACAAATCATAGTCCATGTGCCCTGCCGACAGGCAAACGCCTGGCAACCAAAACATTTAAAGCTTTAGTCCATCATTTGTAATTAGTGCATTTTGTTCGTTTGAAGCAACAAAAGTGTTCAAAATCTAAAAAAGGATACTGATCAACTAACCCGATGAAGTTTCAGCTAAGCTTCAGCTGTACATTCCGAGAAAAACAGCATTCTAAGATCTCAATTTCAAATCAAAAGTTACTGAATCATGTTTTGAATTGTTTTGTAATTGCAGCTATACGCGACGTCGCGCACTGATCCGACGAATTATAACAACCGCGCGCGCGCGTGTGCGTCGTTCCAATACTTGTGCGCGCTGCGCTGAATAACAAAACGAACTACTAATTTAAATTTTCCTACGGTGCTTCTTAAGAATCACCGTTTGAAATGCCTTCTTTCGTTGATTACTTCAAAATGACAGCTTCCCAGAAAGAATAATTTCACAGGGAGTTTAGTTCCCTTACTATCTTTCAACCAAGTTTGTTTTTCTTCTTTCAGCCCTGCATGTTTGTGTGCACCCCCATGTTAATGTATGTATCTCTGTCATTTCTGTTTTAGCCTCTGAAGAAGAACTTGCTAAGTTCGCAACGTCAGGCCACATTAATTTTAAGATTTATATATTTCAGGTCCATCCAGTCAGTAAGCAGTTTGCAGCAGTTTTACTTTTTTTCAAGTTTGTTTTTCAACAGTAATTAAGCCAGTTACTTTTCGGATGGATGCAAATGATGGACTATAGCTTTAAGCATCTTTTGCATGTTATTTTGGCCCACATTAAACGGATTATGTCAACACGTTTAAACCAATCATATTTCAAGAGGTATATAAATGCAGTGCAGAAGAGAACCATTTGCTGGAAGTTGGCGTCACATGACCACAACATCCAATTTTGTAAACAAATGTCACCTGGTCTTGATGACCAAGATCACCGATATCCCTAAATGCTAAAAAGAAAACAAACTTTCTAATTTACATCATTTCAAGTAAGTGTCAGGAAAAGAAACCTATAATTTTCATTTGGGACAAAACCGAAATAAGAGATGAAATGCTCAAAGGTCTTTGTTCATAGTTCTGTTTTCACAACTTACGGAACATTCTGTTTCCTGCTAGCCACGCTGGTGATGCTTCCTGAGGAGAACAATCGAAATTAAAATTGACTTTTATTCACTAAAGAAGTGTTTACTATCGTTACTTTTTCACTTGTTACTATATGATGTCAAAAGTAGCAGATTAAGTGAAATCCATTTAATAACACATACTAGCAGGTTTATATTTTCAATAGGGTCAGAGGAACTTCCTTTTTATCACAAATTCATACGCTAATGGTTTTATCATATATTTCTTTCTTCTACAGGGTGGTGCAAAAAAAAAGGAAACCCACTTTTGACAGGAATTTTTACCTACTTACTTAACTTATGTGAACTGTTTTTATAAACGGTACTATATTTTGATTTTAATGTTCGCAAGAATAGTCTTATTATGCTAATTTGAATACAAGTCACCACAATCACTGTTGTCCACGTGTAAGTCTTAGAGTAGTGTTTGTTTTTTTCAGATCAATTTTAAGCTGCCACATCTCAGAGACAAAATAGGCATTTGCAATCATTTTTCTTCACTTATATTTAGATGTAAATATCTTAATACCATTAAATTGAATTTTTGAAATATGCTCAACCCGTAGGTAAAAAATGCTGTCAAAAGTAGGGGTTTTTTTCCCCACCACCCTGTATTATAAGAAGGGACATGCATTAGTTTTGACGATCATTGTTAATTTACTTTAAGTATCTTTACTTTCGTCTGAATCTCCTGAACAGGTCTGTCATAAACCTCAAACAAACTTTAATGTTGGCCACTTTACGGAAGATGAAACTTAAATGGTTCATTTCAACATTGTATTTTAACATTGTCATTTTATATATGGCTTGAAGCTTTGCATGGCGGATGAGATAAATTATAAAGTTTGTGGGTAACACCATGTGGAAAGAAATCTCTTCTCGGAAGAAGTGTGGTACTGGACAGAACCGGTTGGTTGAGTGTAGAACTCGACGACCTCCTGAGGACAGACAGAGCTGTCTGAAACGTTGAGTTCTATACTCAACCAACTGGTTCTTTTCAGAACCACACTTCTTCCAAGAAGAAATTACTTTCCACATGGTGTGACCCGCAAACTTTTTTTATAATTTTTTTTTTGCTTCATTCTCACCTCGCCCGAATCTTCTGCGCTTGTCTGTGAAAAGAAATCTACAAGAAGAACGAGCACTACGGCGCATAGAATGCACGTTGCCTTCATGATCTGAGGGGGAAAAGGAAAGATAAATGAACTTCAAAACTTGTTGATTGATTTTGGAAAGATTTGTTACTCATTGCGTAAGATGAAGCCAAATAACACGTACGCAGAATAAAGATGGGTTTAGTTGCGGCGGGATTTTTCTCATTTTAAAGATGTAGTAGCAGAAAACGTAACCACTTCAACTTATGGAAATAAAACAAATCAATTCATGTTGAAATCATATGAACTGTACAAATTAAGTTCAGCATGACATTTTTTTGGTTGAATTGTGGACCTAAACAAAAGAAAAACAAACGATTATTTTAACAGTTGAACAAAGAAATTGACTGGAGCGGGGTTTGAACCTGCGCTCTTTTTGTTCAACTTAAGGAAGAAAAATATTATAATGCACCTTGTCAGTTTCCCTTTGTGGTTAATTTGAAACGTTTGTAATAAAAAGCTCCTGTCTGAGTGATCCCCGTTTGCTAATTCCCAGATTTGCAGCCATGCTAATGTTGCTAGAATCGTGACTTTGGGCGTGATCTAGCTACATTGCACAATAATATGAGTTTATGGCTTCTGACTAGCGCCCCAGAGAAATTGACAAAATGGTTAACCGCCAACATAGGGCCGCATATTTGGTAGAGCACAGGAACGGTAATCCGGAGGTCGCAGGTTCAAACCCCGCACCAGTCAAATTCTTTGTTCAACTTAAAAGAAACTTAGTTAGTTTCCTTATGTGGTTAATTAGAAGAAAGCATACAGACAGATTTAAATTATTGTTAACACTGCAGACGCGGTTGATTTTTTTTGTCACCGTCTGTGAGTTCTTTGAGTTGTTGTGGAAAGTGGTATTTGACTCTGTCTCGCGTGGTTGTACAGTGTTGTTAAAACTTCATGGGTCTATCAAGACGTTTCAATACCGATGACACTAGCAAAGCAATTCTCGGAGCAACCGTTACCCTGTAAACAGCGCGGGACTTATTCAACAAATCCAGACGGATTGACTCGACAAAGACGGGCCCGCAACCCATTGCTCTATCTCACGAATCTATTTAGGTCACAGACGGCGCCTTTAATGCCCCAATTTGCTGAACCAAATTGAAAACTAACTTTTAAAAATCTCCTCGTTCATGCTCCATTCGGAAATGTACACAAAAACCACTCACGGGGCAAGTGGAAAGCGTTACTCCACAAATCCTACCACAAACACGCCATAACACACATTCAGCTGTATTTCCCAGCCGTAATTCGTGGTTTATGCTTTACAAACGGTCCCTATGGTAGTGATTTATTTTCATCTTCATTCTAAATTCAGTTTCCATCAAGTTAAAATCAGTCTTAGGATAATCAACCGATTATGGGACTCACGATGACAGTGACGTTTACGCCCGTTCTAACGATAATGCAAGACACGCAACGACAGTGGTAGTCGTATAGATGATATTTTCATAAGTACGTCTGGTCTTCTTTTGGGAAATGATCAAAAATGCATATTTTGGTACAGCAATGACAAGTAGAGACCGTGTTATGGTTATGATTATTCTGATGGAACACAAGACAATGTTCCAGTTACAAACTCTAGTTAAAGGGAGTCAGGTTGGTGTAGTGCTACTTTCCTCGCCTTCCACCGCTGTGACCCGGGTTCGAATCCTGCCTGATGGGTCAAAATATGGATTGGGTTTTCAGTCCCTACCTGATTCCGTGGGTTATTCTAAGAATACTCTTCTGGGCTTTTCCTCCCACCCCTAAAACTGTAATTTCTTCACATTGTCTTCTCTTTATTGGGACCCATGGAAGATCAATGGATTCCACTAAATGGGCTACCCAGTTAAAATAAGAAATAAAAAAAAAAAAAAAAAAAAAACACAATATGACAATAATAACAAAGAAATGTCTTTGCCACAGTTCGTTTTGAATACGGTGAGAAAGCGTGACGTCACCTCACCAGGTCAGGCTCCCTTCCTTGGAAAACATTTCACGAACATTCAACGGATGCTAAAACACACGATCACAAGCAGCAATTTTACATCCTACTTTTACAGAACCCTTTCACAAACTGGTACAATTGTACCTGAAAATGATTCACTGCCTTTCAGCAGATTATCACCACACCAGTTACAATCACAGTTGTGCCTATTTTTGCTCCCAAGATGAGAATCAAGCCAATTATGAAACGGATTGACAACAGCCATAGCGAAACATCGGTGTTCACTGGGCCGTTGCATGCAGTGCGCGTGAACCATCATGGTTGCACTGAGTTGACCTCTGAGTGACGTCAAGGTTATGCCAGCGAATAGCTTGTGACTTGACTTGGGCCTGAATGTCTTGTGATTGACTTGTGTGTCATGACTTGTAGTCCATCTCTTATCCCTCGACTACAACACTGAGTATTGTTTGCAAGATTACAGTGCACAACAAATGTTGGCGATATTTGGTTTTGCAATAACATCACTCGACAGTCAATAAATATATTTATTTAATTCCTTTTTTTTTTAAATTGTAATAACCCAGGCTCGCCGTGGTGGGGTGGGAGGGATGTTAACAAGCCATGGAAATGGCGACCAACCCCGCTTAACGGCTCTCAAGGTTGTGGCTTGGTTCTTAGTGTTGTGTTTTGGGCTTGTGGCTTAGTTGTTGGAAATGGAGATCAACCCCGCTTTGTTCTTAGGGTCGTGGCTTGCTTCTATAGTGTTATGGCTCGGGTTGTGGCTTGGTTGTTGCAAATGGCGACTAACCCCGCTTTGTTCTCAGGGTTGTGGCTTAGTTCTATAGTGTTATGGCTTGGGTTGTGGCTTTGTTGTTGGAAATGGCGATCAACCCCGCTTGGTTCTTCGGGTTGTGGCTTCTTGGTTCTTGGTTCTATCGTTTACTTTTTGTTGAAAAGTTCCTCAAAGTTTCTTCATGGGTTCTTCAGACTTCCCCCTTTAATCCTAAAGGGGCCGAGGGAATCCGCTGACCTATAGTCATGAACATTTCTTGGGTATGTTTTAGGAAGAGTTGCTCTATGCATGTGCTGAGTTTCAAAGTTTTTCGTCACTCGATGGCCGAGATCTTAGGGGGGGGGGGCGGAATCCGCCCCCCCCCGGCTGAGAGATGGTCAAAATAACCCGGCCCCTTTAGGGTTAATTATAAAACAATCTTGCAAACAAAATCAGTGATTTGTGGCAAATACCACACACCAGCGGAAATGTACAGCCCTTCACTTTACTTTGTAAAATATGGGTTTAAAACAACATCGCTCCGACACCGCAACGTAAAAAGGGAACCCAGTCTCCACTGCCAATTTAAAGAATTAATGAGCCTATTAGCAACGCTACACCGTTACAGTCATGTTGCGCCGTTCATGTTACACGGTAATGTCATCAATAAATCAGCGATCTGCAGCTCCCCATCATACACGAGTAATATTAAACATTTGCGCCCGGCTCTGGCACGTGATTCCTAAACATCGTGCATAGTAATTGGTCATTAGAAACCTGAGAGAGAACCTGAACACTTTACGTTTTTCCAAACACCTTGGTTGTCAATATGCCTCGAATGTAAAAAACTTGACTGGGAATAAGAAAACATTGATGTTTATTACAATATTTGTCTTTAAAATATAGCCCACTCGTAAAAAAATCCCCCTTTTGTTGGTGCTTGAAGCTGTTTCGGTATATGGTGACTTAACACAACTCTCACCTTGCTGCAACAACGCATTAATAATGCATAGAAAAAGACATCGGTGACTTTTGAAAGGAGAAACTTCTCAGTTAATGAGAAAGCGATACGAAAACACGTCTGACCCGCATGGAAGATAATGTTTGCACGGAGGTTTTTTTTTTTGGTTCACACCGTTAACTCAAAATGCGAGCGCGAACCACGCGAAAATCGCGCTCGCCAGTGGCGCGATCAGCCAGCGTACACACACGTGGGGCCAGTTGCGGCGATTGTGATGCATTGCAAATCTCCTGCCCGATGGTATCTGGTGACGCAGATAATTTCTCCAGATCCCATCGGGCCAGGGGATGAGGTGCTAAAAACAATAAGCCCTGACTTGTCCCCAGGGCCCGGGCAACTCGATACTGTGTTAATACGCGGCCCGCTGCGTCGTCTCGCGTAATGAAGAATTTTGACACCAAACACGTCGGCTCGCAAAAAGTCGCCCTGTTCTCTCTATTTCCCCTCCGATCTTCCCCCGGGGCTGTTGGGGTTTCAGGGAACGTGCCCCGACTATACATCATTCCTTTGTCACGGTTGGTCACGGAGCTACGAGATTGGAGACATTAATCCGTGTAGGATCCTTGCTGCAAAAGCGCCACGTGAAGGGAGGCTGGGCGTAAACTGAGATCATTAGTGGCTCTTATATACGCAGTTAATTTGTCTCAAAACCAGGTTTCTTTCAGTTTTGACTCGGCGTAACCAAATTTTGTTTTCAATTTACAAAGCTGCAGGAAGACTTGGCGCATAAAAAAAAATCACAACTAGAGGTTAGCGTTTGTTGTTACAAACGCAGAGTGGTCGGGCATGCAATTTGTTCATTAAACACTGCCGAATTGAGTATGAATATGTTTATGTAAGAACAAAGGATCACGAAGTAAATCCTTTCCAGTACAATCAATTATTTTGTTTCCAAAAATGAATATTTAACGGTGTGATAAATTTTAGTAAACATTTTCTGTACTCATACAAGTTATTTCTGGCTTGATGACGTCATAATTCAAAAACGGGAAGTGGATACCGATTTAGTTCGCAGTGGATAAATGTTCGTTGTGTATTCATAACACCTAACTTCCGGTTTGATGACGTCACAGTATTTGGAAGCAAAACGTGAACATTGTAAGGGATATCGTTAAATGGGCTACGAAGATATACGACATGAATCAAATGATAGAATTAAATCTAAAATATTATATTAATATTTTCAAATTCTCGTATAAGTAACTTCCGGTCCGATGACGTCAAGAATTTGGAACCTTGCCAAATTATCTGTGGCTAATCAAAGAATATCAAGGGGCGATTTGAAAATATTTGAACCGATC